AAAGAATGAAGAGAAATAACAGATTGTTGTTGTGGTGGTTACTAAGTTTGGGGATTGCTTGTTACACAGCAGTAGCTAGCTGATACAGCCCTTCTCATCAAGACTAGATCTCTGGGTCTAGTATCTGAGCTCTCCCTGTGAACCCTCATGGGCATAGGCAATGGATTACAAGGCCCATGTCCTAAGCATCCAAATGCCATGGGCAGATGTCACCTATTTCTGCTGAGTCAGCAATACTGGCCTCAAACAAGTAAATGAAAACCATGAATCCCAGTGTCTGAGACCTAGGCCCCAACACTGACTAGTTCAGTATAAAAAGTCACTTCCTTCCACAGTCTGCTTCATAATAACTTGGAATAATACTGGGATAAGTGGGAAAGTTCAGAGAAAGTTAGCTTCTGCTTCTGGGACATTCCAAGATAAACAGTTATACTTGTAACTAAGAGGACAGAAAAGAAAATTTAAACATTCTTATTAAGCCAGCCCAGACCCAAGCCTATTAGTAGAGACACTAGGTTACCCTGAGAATACTCTCATCACAGGAGTTTTTCACCCCTCACCTTTTAGATATCTGATGTGGCTGGCTGCACTACAAAGATGAGTAAGCCACCTCTGAAAGAACTTCCTGTCTGATCTAGGGAACAAACATGTAAACAAAGACATGTGAATCATTGTTGTGAATCACAAAAGAGGAAGAACACTGGCGTGGATCTCAGTAAAACGAGAACGTAACATGTTTTTCTTTCAAGAATCAAGAACCTATATGCACAAATGAACACTTTTAATTCATTTCACCCTGGGAAGCAATCCTTTTTTCAATAATGCTGCCTTTCCCTAACTCACATCAAAGACCCCGACAAGCAAATGCCTCGCTACTTTATACCAACAGTCAATATGGTACCATCCTGCTGGCCCTTTCTCTAAATTTGGTAATGAAGGACTTTTTTGCTTTTTCAGGAAAAAAACAAACAAACTCCTTTATCAAATAACGAGGCCCTGCCACCCTTGAGGATATTGGGGAAAAAAAAAAGTAAGGTCTGAAGGCAATTCATATCCAACAGCTGTGTCTACATTGTTAGAATGTAAGGCCAACCACGCTGGCTACTTGGAGTGGGCAAGTCTCACTTAATATCATGCAAGTTTTCAGGGGTGGGGTGAGTGTCTGTCTAATTACTTCAGATACAACTCTGATGCTTATAATTCTATTTCGGATGTGTTCATCTTTCTAGCTTGCAATGGAAGCCCTCGAGGTCACACTTGTCTTCCAATGCCTGTAAGATCAGAAAGGCTATGGGTGCTCTACACCAGGGTCCCTGCCAGTCTTTAATGAAGCACATAGTATGGAATGTTCTAAACGCTTTGAAAGGAAGGTTGGGTCAGTATAAAAAGAGGCCCATTATAGTTCCCTCCTTGCCTTAATGTCAGTGTCGAGTTCTCTTGACCTGTAATAAAGAGGCAGTGTGACTGAGGCCTGGGGACACTGGCCACGCTCTGGCTTCAGTGCCCAGCCTACCCTATCCTCTTCCCAGCACTCTCTGTTCCAGGGCCAGACCCGGGAGCTGCCCCAAGGTAAGCTTCCTGGGCGCAGGCTTTGTTTGTCTAACCAAACAGGGTGCCAGTAACACCTGCAGTCCTAGCTGCTTACCTCTGATTAACCTTATCCAGATCCAGGGCTTAGGTGCGACTACCACCCAAGCAACAACTCCTGTAGCTTTGGGGTCAAACATCCAGTAAAGAACTGGGAATGCAGAGGGTGGTGGGGGAAGGGTGGATGAAGGGTTCTGACCCACTCAAAGGTTCTGGTGGTTTATGGTGTTACTTAAGACTTTTAAGACTCCACAGATACAGAGAATAGACTTGCTGCCAAAGGAAAGGGGTTGGGGTGGGGAAGGTAAGGGTTGGGAGTTTGGGGATTAGCAGATGCAAACTATTATATACAGAATGGGTAGACAACAAGGTTCTCCTGTATAGCGCAGGGAACTATATTCAGTGTCCTGTGATAAACCCCAACGAAGGGACTTCCCTGGTGGTCCAGTGGCTAGGACTCCACGCTTCCAAGGCAAGGGGCACAGGCTCAGTCACTCGTCAGGAAACTAAGATCCTGCAAGAAGCATGGCACAACCAAAAAAGGAAAAAAAAAACCCACAAAACCCTAATGGAAAAGAATATGAAAAAGAATATATAACTGAGTCATTCTGCTGTATAGTAGAAATGAACACACTGTCAATCCACTATACTTCAATAAAATTGGAAAAAACAAAACAAAACCATAAGATTCCACAAACCTGAGTGTTCATCAGTGACACTCTCTTAAGTAAATTTCTCTTCAGTTCTCCAGACATCTAACTTCAGATCAGTGGCTCAGCCCGTGTAGGGTTAATGAGCATGGAAAGCAAACTGGAGTCAGAGGATTGGAGATGGCTCAAGTCATCTGCTCTTATTTTCCCCCGGGGCACACATTGCAGAGCCATTCCCAGCAAGAGTGACAAGTGGACACTTTACTCCAGTAGCTTCTAACACCATCCAACCACACAGACTCTGCCGAGAGCCTGGCTCTTCAGACTCTGGTTTAAAGACAGATGCCAAAAAAGAAATAAATAAATAAAGACAGATGTCAGACCCAACCTCAGGAGAAGTTTACCTGGATAGATGCATCGCTTTTTTTGTCAGACCGCAGAGGAGAAACTGGTGAGGGCTGTCACATTCCACCAATTCCTGAGAGCTCAGAGAGTAGTCCTTACATCAGTCACTAGGAGCTAGTTAGAAATGTGGACTCTTAGGTCCTACCTCTAACCTACAGAATTAGATGTGGTCCCCAGTGCTGAGAAACAGCACTCTAGACGGAAGCAGAAGGGGGCCAGGAATGATCTTTACTCACTAGGTCAAGCCCTTCTGCAGGCAAAAGGGTTGTGTTAAAGCGGGCTTTGGAGGAAGACTCCATGCCTTGATTGTGCAGAGGCAAGCCTGGATTCTCCGGGTTATGGACTGTGAGCTGCGCCTCCCCGCTGGTCTCTAGGCTGGTCACTCTCTAGGCTCCTGGCACTGCTATCTTCCTTCCAGTTGGCCTCAGAAACTGTCACACTGATGCAGAAGCCCCTTGTCCCTCTCTCAAATGAACACCTTCAAAAGGAGGGAGACTGGCTGAGGTCTGCCCCGAACCGCAATTTACCAGTGCAAAGGAGAAGTGGAAGAGAGTTTCCCATAAACAGCACCCCCGGCTGTTGCTTCCAAGCTGATCCACCCCATCTAGCAACAAAGGTGCAAAATAGGGCCACCTAAGCCTTCAGGCCTGAGTCAGTGCCCACCCTGAACAGATGAAGCAGCGGCTCACACCTTCACTGGAGGGGACCCCAAAACTGTCCGGAAAGGTCCCGGTAGACACAGCATAGCCCAGAAAAAGCAGAGTAGCATGGACTGCATAAGGCCCAGCATGGAAAGAGAACCAGACTCAAGAGAGACAGAAGAGTCACTGGGAGATTTCCCTGGGATCATTTTTAATAGACGCGGCGGCATTTTCCCCCCTCTGCGCTTGGAGGCTGTGTCCCGTTCAGTTTGGGAAATCGGGTGTTAGATTGGATCGTGGGCACGTGTTTGGGGGCCTCAGTGCAGCGTCCCATAGAAAAAGGCGGCCCCCGCAGTCCAAGAACCACTCAGCTGGCTAACAGCTCGCACGCTGTATGTTTTGAGTCAAACAAAACTAGGGCCTCGGATCTGGCTGTGCTCGCCGGGGGTGGGGCAGCTGCCTGAGAAAAGCAGCAAGTGGCCCCCGACGCTGCCAGGCGACGAGGCGGGCAGCCCCGCCCGAGCGCGTGCGTCCCAGCCGGGACGCCAGAATGTGCGGCGCTTTTCTCGAGTAGTTTGGGAAGCAGCAGAGGCAGAGGGCGTAAAGGGAAGGGGAGACGGGCAGAAGCGGGTGAGGACGGCGCGAGGGAGGGAGGGAAGCGGCGAGCTCCGGGATTTCATCACGCAAACGCGCGGGCAGCTTTCATCAGCACCCGGGCTCCGGAGCTGGGAGCGAATGCCAGGCTCCCGAGGGCAGCGCGAAGCGGGCCCCCACCCGCGCCAGCTCAGCTTCCTCTTCCTCATCCACGCTCCCGGAGGTCACACGGTTCCCTCCCTCCCCTCCCCGCCCCGGACAGAAGAACGTGTTTTTCTGCATAGCGCGGCTCGCGGCCCCAGGTCCCTGCGCGCAGAACCGCCGCGCGCCTGAAAGAACCATCTGCTCCCCGTGCCGCCGAGGCGCGCCGCAGGAGCAGGCGAGCACCCTCCGCCCAAAGCCGGGGCTGGGGGTCTGGCGGGGTGGGGGGCCTCGGGAAGGAAGAAGGGTTCTGCGAGGATCATTGATCCTAACATCTCACCCCACAAAACCTCTCCCGTGGTGCGTGGCCCACCCCGACCCCACCCTATTCAGCCTCAGAACTGCCCCCAACACCCACAAGGGGCAGCACACCTCAGCATGTGGCGGTCTTGGAAGCGTGCGTTTGTTTGTGCTTTGGTCGACGATCGGGGAAGTCGGGCGTCCCTTCCAGAAAGAAGGAAACTCCTGGCATTGGCAGACGCGTCACTGGAGTTCGCGCCCGAGGGCTGGCGATCGCAGGCGACCCTCATGCTCGCTCCCTGCGGCCACCTCCCGGACTCTTACTGCCTCCCGGATGCCCCGTTCCGTTCTTCCCAGTCTTCGCGCCCCGGAACTCGGTCGCCCCGTCCAGCTGGCGGCTCCCGAGCACTCCCCGCTCCTGTCGAATCCGGACTCCCCACCGCCCGCACCCAGAGCCGGGGCGCAGGGGGCCATCCCCCTCCCAGAGCCCGCGCCTACCTCCGGGGGTGGTGCTGAAAAGCGTGCCGCCGGGGGTGGTGCTGTAGTCCCCGGGGGGCAGCTGCACGCCGTCGGCGAGGACCACCCTCCGAGTGGTGGGGATGGCCCGGCTCGGGGTCTGGCTGCAGCTGCTGCCTCCGGACATGGTCTCCCCGCGCGCAGAGCCCGCAGCCGGGGCGTGGCCCTAGAGCCCCTCGGGCTTCGCTCCGCCCCGCCCGAGACCGCCCCTTCCGCCGCTCGGGCAGACGACCCTTGGGATATGTAGTTCCCGCCCCGCCGCCTCGCAGCCTACCTCTCCCCGGGGCTGCGGGCTCCGGCGCTCCTCGCCACCAGCGCTGGCTCCTCGCCCCCGGCGCAAGCGCCCGCTCCCGGGAGGCCAGAAACTGCGCCCGGCCTGAGTGCCTTCCAGATCCCTCTCAGGCACGCTCCTAGTCCTTTCGGGTCCCCGTTCACACTCCGGCAGGGACTGGTCGAATGGGGGTGGTGGTCGCGAGCTTGCCCGGGTTAATGCGTTGCTGCTGGGTCGGGGGCGCATCTCGGGCTGTGCGGGGATCCTAGCCCACCCTGGCTAGTTTCAACACTGGGACCTCAGCGGAAGGCCCCCTCAGCCCGCCCCTGCTCTGCGTTCTAGTTCCTCAGACCAGAAGGTGGGCGTTGGTCGGTAGGTCATCCATCAACTGGTTGAACATCCGTCATGTGGCAGGGGTGGAAGAAATGGCGAAAAACACATTCTTTTGCCCGAGGGTGGGGAGAAGTTCCCAGGGACCAACCACCCAGCTAGTTGACCGAGAGCTAACCTTGGACCTCGGTGAGGTGGGTGTTAAGCGGGGAGGCTTAAGAGTTGGTCAAAGAAGATTCTCGACACCCTTTGGGTTGGGTCCGTTGCCCGTGCTGCCTGAAATTTGGTAGGTGCTCCTTGAATGAATGAACCGACGAATGAATCTTCAAGGAGGTCCCCAAGTGGAGGACAGAAAAGCCTGCAGTGATCACCTCTTGGAGGGGAGAGAAGAGAAAAAAGTTTAAAAGGGAAATCTGGGCGGATGGTGAAGGGTCTTTCACATCGTGACAGTGTGTTGCAGATCTTGGAGATATCAGAGATTTTTATTATTATTAATTTATTTATCTATTGGCCACTTTGCATGCCATGTGGGATATTAGATCTCCGACAGGAGATCAAACTCATGCTCACTGCATTGGAAGCGTAGGGACTTAACCACTGGACCACCAGGGAAGTCTCTCAGAGATCTTTTAAGCTGGGGAGTGACACAGTGGTCTTCTTAGAATGGATTACAGGAGAGTAAGGCCTGAGGTAGGAAGACTGGTTGGATTTGGTCATTCCTGAGCTAAACCCTCGGCCTGCGCTGTCCAGCTTGGTAGCCACTGGCAATGAGTGCAAAATATCTTAATAATTTTTTTTACACTAATTACATGATGAAATAATATTTTGAATATATTGGGCTAAGTAAAATCTATTATCAAAGTTAATTTCACCCGTTTCTGTTTTTTTTTATAGGACTAGAAGAAATATATATGGATCATAATGTATTTCTGTTAGACAACCCTGCTCTAGAATGAGGTGTTATGAAAGCAATATGTAAGTTCTCAAAAATTCTTCCCCGAAAACTGTGGACTCATCAAATGTTAGCTCTGGCCAGGTACATTATAGCTCATCCAGGACGATACTTACCTCCATCATATTGAAAAACAGAGCAAACATAAAAGAGGCCCAGAGTGTTGGAGGAAAGAAAGTGGGGCACAAGAGGATGGTCACATCCCCAGGTCACATCCGAGTCCCTGGGATGGTCTCCAAGTGTGGGTTCTTGGCTTCTCATAGGAAAGAATTAAAGAGCGAGTCACAGTAAAGTGAAAGAAGAGTTCTTCAGGGACTTCCTGGGGGCCCAGTAGATAGGAATCAGCTGCCAATGCAGGGGATGTGTTCCATCCCTGGTCCAGAAAGATTCCACATATCTCAGAGCAACTAAACCTGTGGGCCACAGCTACAAGCTTTCATGATGCAACTTCTGAAGCCTGTCAGCCTAGAGGCCACACCCGGCAACAGAGTAACCCCCGCTCACCGCCACCAGAGAAAGCCCATGCCAAAAAGGAATGAAGATCCAGTGAAACCACGATTTTTCTTTTTTTCAAAAAGGGTTATTTAGGAAGGAAACACACTCCTTAGAGAGAATGCGGGCAAGTGAGGCCCCAGGGCATGGGGTTGTTGGTTTTTATTTTTGCTGGTGTTCAGTCACTAAGTTGTGTCCAACTCTTTGCAACCCCAAGGACTGCAGCACACCAAGCTTCCCTGTCCTTCACTATTTCCCAGAGTTTGCTCAGATTCATGTCCATTGAGTCAGTGATGCTGTCTAACCATCTCATCCTCTGCAACCCTCTTCTTTTGCCTTCAGTCTTTCCCAGCATCAGGGTCTTTTCCAATGAGTCAGCTCTTCGTATCAGGTGGCCAAAGTATTGGAGCTTCAGCTTCAGCATCAGTCCTTCCAATGAATATTCCAGGTTGATTTCATTTAGGATTTGACTGCTTTGATCTCCTTGCAGCCCAAGGGACTTTCAAGAGTCTTCTCCAGCACCACAATTTGAAAGTATCAGTTCTTCGGCGCTCAGCCTTTTTAATGGCAGAACTCTCACATCTATACACGACTACTGGAAAAAGCATAGCTTTGACTAGACGGACCTTTGTAGGCAAAGTAATGTCTCTGCTTTTTAATATGCTGTTTAGGTTTGTCATAGCTTTTCTTCCAAAGAGCAAGCATCTTTTAGTTTCATGGCTGCCATCACTGTCTGCAGTGATTTTGGAGCCCAAGAAAATAAAATCTGCCACTGCTTTCACTTTTTCTTCCATCTATTTGCCATGAAGTGATGGGATCAGATCCCATGATCTTAGTTTTTTGAATGTTGAGTTTTAAGCCAGCTTTTTCACTCTCTTCTTTCATCCTCATCAAGAGGCTCTTTAGTTCCTCTTCGCTTTCTGCCATTAGAGTGATGTCATCTACACATTTGAGCCTGTGGTTATTTCTCATAGCAATATTGATTCTAGCTTGTGATTCATCCAGCCCAGCATTTCACATGATGTCCTCTGCATCTAAGTTAAATAAACAGGGAGACAAAATACAGCCTTGTACTCCTTTCCTAATTTGGAACCAGTCAGTTGTTCCATGTAAGGGTCTAACTGTTGCTTCTTGCCCTGCATACAGTTTTCTCAGGAGATAGGTAAGGTGGTCTGATATTCCCATCTCTTTAAGAATTTTCCACAGTCAAAAGTTTTAGCAGAGTCAGTGAAACAGAGGTAGATGTTTTTCTGGGATTCCCTTGCTCTCTCTATGACCCAATGAACGTTGGCAATTTGATTTCTAGTTCCTCTGCCTTTTCTAAACCCAGCTTGTACATCTGGAAGTTCTTCATTCAAGTACTGCTGAAGCCTAGCTTGAAGGATTTTGAGCATAACCTTGCTAGCATGTGAAATGAGCACAATTATACATTCTTTGGCACTGCCCTTCTTTGGGATTGGAATGAAAACTGACTTTAACTAGTCCTGTGGCCACTGCTGAGTCTTCCAAGTTTGATGACATATTGAGTACAATGCTTTAATAGCATCATCTTTCAGGATTTGAAATAGCTCATCTGGAATTCCATCACTCCACTGGCCTTGTTTGTAGCTTCCAAAGCTACAAACTGCCAAGGCTACTTTGATGCTTCCAAAGACCCACTTGACTTCACACTCCGGGATGTCATGTTGAGTAACCACACCATGGTGGTTATCTGGGTCATGAAGACCTTTTTGTGTAGGTCTTTCTGTGTATTCTTGCCATCTCCTTTTAATCTCTTCTACTTCTGTTAGGTCCTTATCATTTCTGTCCTTTATTGTGTCCATCCTTACATGACATATTCCCTTGTATCTCCAATTTTCTTGAATAAATCTCTAGTCTTTCCCATTTTATTGTTTTCCTTTACTTCTTTGCACTGTTCATTTAAGAAGGCCTTCTCAAAAAATAAAAAAAAGAAGGCCTTCTCATCTGTCCTTGCTATTCTTTGGACCTCTGCATTCAGTTGGGTGTATCTTTCCCTTTCTCCCTTGCTTTTTGCTTCTCTTCTTTCCTTAGCTATGCGTAAAGCCTCCTCAAACAAACACTTTGCCTTCTTGCATTTATTTTCCTTTGGAATGATTTTGGTCACTGACTCCTGTACAATATTATGAACCTTTGTCCACAGTGGTTTTGGTCATTGACTCCTGTAATTGTTACACACTTCAGTCCATAGTTCTCAGTCACTCTGTCTACCAGATCTAATCTCTTGAATCTACTCATCACCTCAACTGTATAATCATAAGAGATTTGATTTAGGTCATACCTGAATGGCCTAGTGGTTTTCCCTCCTTTTCCAATTAAAGCCTGAATTTTGCAATAAGAAACAAAGGGGTGGGTATTGCTAAAAATTTTCCAAGTGAGACTTCAACAGTATGTGAACCAACAACTTCCAGACATTAAAGCTGGGTTTAACAAAAGCAAAGGAAACAGACATCAAATTGCCAACATCTGTTGAAAAATAGAAAAAAGCAAGTGAGTTCCAGAAAAACATCTACTTCTGCTTTATTGACTACGCCAAGGCCTTTGACTATGTGGATCACAACAAACTGGAAAATTCTTCAAGAAGTGGGAATACCAGACCACCTTACCTGCTTCCTGAGAAATCTGTATGCAGGTCAAGAAGCAACAGTTAGAACCAGACATGGAACAATGGACTGGTTCCAAGTTGGGAAAGGAGTACAACAAGGTGGTATATTGTCACCTTGCTTATTTAACTTATATGCAGAGTACATCATGTGAAATGCTAGGCTGGATGAATCACAAGCTGGAATCAAGACTGCCAGGAGAAATAACAATAACCTCAGTTATGCAGATGACACCACCCTTGTGGCAAAAAGAGAAGAGGAATTAAAGAGTCTCTTGAGGAGGGTGAAAGAGGAAGTGAAAAAGCTGGCTTAAAACTCAACATTCAGAAAATGAAGATCATGACATCTGGTCACATCACTTCATGGCAAATAGATGCAGAAACAGTGGAAATAATGACAGACGTCATTTTATTGGGCTCCAAAATTACTGTAGATGGTGACTGAAGCCATAAAATTAGAAGATGCCTGCTCCTTGGAAGAAAAGCTATGACAAACCTAGATAGCATATTAAAAAGCAGAGACATCACTTTGCCTACAAAGGTCCCTATAGTCAAGGCTGTGGTTTTTCCAACAGTCATGTATGGATGTGAGAGTTGGACCATAAAGAAAGCTGAGCACTGAAGAACTGATGCTGTTTAACTCTGGTGTTGGAGAAGACCCTTGAGAGTCCCTTGGACTGCAAGGAGATCCAACCAGTCCATCCTAAAGGAAACCAGTTCTGAATATTCATTGGAAGCTGAAGCTGAAGCCCCAATACTTTGGCCACCTGATATGAAGAACTGATTCATTGGAAAAGACCCCGATGCTGGGAAGATTGAAGGCAGGAGGAGAAGGGGACGACAGAGGATGAG